AGCGATAGTCGGCTCCCGCTTCGAAAAAGAAAGCACAGATGTCAGCGCTTGTGAACATAGTGGTGCTGGCGGGTTGCAAAAGGGAAAGTTGCTGGTCTTGAGCTGTGGTAATGCTTGTAAATAGCGAAGTGAGATTGAAAAGGGTTTGAAAACAAAGTCGCAGTCGGAAAGAGCGAGAATGCACAATGGTTGGCCCACGCAGACACCAGTTCTTTGACTTTGTTTCTCTATACTCTTCTATTTTATCTTTTAAGGTATTGTATTGGGTATTATTGCCCAATTTTTGTATTTAGTTTTTGCAGTTTGCTCCAATAATAAATATTGTCCCCACTATTGTACGTATTATTGCCCAAAAAGTTATTTTTTCCGATCCCTGAAGCCAAGTATTAGCGCAGTAGGCTCATCGCCGATGAGCCTACTACTGCCGATGAGTCATCGGTGATCTCTTCGTGATAAACGGTGATTTGAAACAGACAACCCCGGCTTCCCCCAAATTTACGGTCCTTGTTGACAGATTCAAATCTCCCGGACCAAGATCGCCGAAAGCTTCGAGACTGGGAGCGCGCTTTACTGCAGGATATCAAGGGGAACGCAGTAGATCTGGTAGATCTCCGTTCAGACAATTTTGACCGTACCTGGATACATTGTATCCGGGTGTGTGCTACCCCCACGAGGGTAACCTGGATGGCCTATGTCTTGATGAGCTAGACTTTGCGGTGAGGAAGCAGGCAGGTTTGTTGAGCGGCACCGACATCACAAAGGTACTTTTGATACTAGTAGTATTTAAAATGGCGGACAGAGCTGGATAAATGGCTGTTGTTTTGACATTTTAAGTTCAAGGCTTCAGAGTTGATTAACTGCGAGTGTCAACGCCTGCGTTGATACTTCTAAGCTTGACTGGGAAACCCTGGGCAATGCCGTCGGAATGTGCTTTCGATCGGTGCCGGAGACCGATTTCACGTGAGGTGGAGCGCTAATTTAATCGTCTGTATTCCAATAATCAGACCATTATTTGGGTATGTGAGGTTTGGTATGTTGGACACTAAAGTTTTCAAGAAGAAGAAGAAGAAGCCTCGACGACTCCTGCGAGACAAGAAGTCCAGTCGGGCGTATAAACTCCGAAGGTTAGGAATACTGGGGAAATCTGCTTATGCACGCTATGGGAGCTAATATCTAGTTTGTTTTAAGAAAAAAGGGTATCCAGGATGCACAGGCTCGACGCTTGGGTACTCTAGAAACTGCAATTAAAAACGAAATCGGACAAAGGGTGCCGCTTTTTGATGTGGCATTGGATTCAACGAAGTAAAGTTTCTAAAATGCTTCATTAAGTTGCTTGAATATTTACAATACAGGGCTTTCCTCATTTAAAATGTTTTCGACTGTTGAGAATCCGTTCGACACATCGTTTCTGGTACAAAGTGGATCGCTCGAAATTGGAGTGGACAATGCCACCGGCCTTCTATATCCAGTAGACTGCGGAGATGTTTGAGACGTATCATATTAGAGATAGAAATTAAATAATAGAGGGGCTCTCTCAACCAACTGTTTGGTTGAAAGCCGTTGGTCGGGGAGACCAGCACACTTTGCTTTCTCCCCGCTAGACCCCAGACGGTCTTCCTTTCCTCTTCAGGGCCAGTGTTCTTACACTGGTAGCACTTGTTGGTCTAGACTCGACAACCATGGCCCCTGCTACGCGCAAGAACGACCAGATCGCGCTACCCACGGGAGGAGAGAGACGAGCGGAGTTGGAAGCTCAGCTCGTACAGCGAGCCGAGATGGCAGCACGCCAAGCTGAAACCCAAGCGCAACACTCTCCGACCAACGCCAAACTCGCGTTCCGAGCAGTCTGACCAAGTATAAGGGGAAGCGCGATGACGACGTGCGCCAGTGGATTTTCCAAGTGGAGACACTATGCCGAATCAATAACCACGATGCGACGGACGACAACTACACGCTGCTTTCGATCGCTGGGACAGCGATGGAGGAACCTGCGTCAGGATGGTTCCTGTTCTGGGCCTCAAGAACTCCTGCGGGCGAGCAGACGTGGCGTCGGCTCACGGATGACACCCTCGCACACTTCGAAGCCTCCAACTACCAAGCGGTGCCGCGGCAGAAGCTACGTGAGCTCCACCAGGTCAATGACATCGAAGAGTACAATGGAAAGTACTCGTCGTTAATCTTCAGCGTTGAGGACATGAGTGAAGTCGACCAAGTCAGCTACAATTGTGATGGCCTCAAGCGGGCGACACAAGCCTACGTCGAGCTGCAAAACGCGGCAACGCTGAGTGAGGCAATGGACCAAGCTGCCAAGTATGAGATGTCTCATTTCGGTGGTGAACGCAAGCCGGCTCGCGAGAAACCAGAGCGTGAGCAACAGTCTCGTGGACGGGTGAGATCTAATCAATCGAATGTTAAGAAGCCGTTCAGTAAAACGTTCTTCATGCCAGGCCACTACGCCCCTATGGGACAGACCAAGGAAGGACCGGTGGGCTACTACAGCAAGAAGCCAGGACACTTCAAGCGTGACTGCAAGAAGCTGAAGAGCGACGAGGAAAACGAGCAGCCACGCCAGTAGAAGAGGGACTTGACGTGGCGAAGGATAGCGAAGAAGATTTTAACCGTAAACGAGGATACGTTGAATCTGCTGTGCGAAGACCCTCTCGTCTATACTCGTGCATCGTTGTTTTCGATTGAAGGGTCAATGGTACAGGATGGGAACACCTTCGCTACCAAGTACCAGTTGGGCTGCGGTGCTACGACCGTCTACGTACCACGTGGATTTGCCAAGAAGAATGAACTTAAGACACACATTTATCCTGATCGGACCATCAAAGTAAAGCTTGGTGACAACAAGATTGAAGTGTCTACCCTGACGTTGGTGAAGATTGAGGTCCGATTCACTGATGTCCCGGATTATCAGTGTGTTGCGGTTGTCTTTGATATTCCTGCAGAGTTTGACTATGTACTCGGATTGCCATTCTTTGTGGACGTACATCCGGATATCGACTAGAAGAATCGATGCTTCAAGATATGCGTCTCAGATGGAGCCTCGACGGCGGACATTTCGACCCCCTGTCGGAAGTGCAGTCCGGCTAATGGCTCTGTGCCTCACGATGCTGTGGATAGCGAAAGCACTTCCGCGATAGGCCGTGACTCCTGTCGAGCCGCCGTGCCAGAAACACAGCTGAAGGGCGGAGCTGAAGGCGTTGAAAGGCCAGCTGAGGGCGTGGGGAAGCTCTCAAAGAGTGAGAAGAAGAGCGCCAGAGCTGAATCAATATTTACTCTTGGCGTTGCTGACTCGGAAGGAGCTGAGATCCAGTACATCACAAGGAAGAAGCTACGGAAGTTCTTACGGCGACCTGCGAAGGACCAACCAGAACATGATTTCATGGTTGTGGTGACAAATGATACGGTCAGAGAGATCGAACGAGACCTCAGGAGGAACGATGAACCTGACACGTTGGATCGGAGAAAACTAAGCGATTCCTGAGCAGAGACTGGGAAACCTTTAAGGATAACCCAGCGTATACTGTTCTTGCCGAGTACAAGGATAATGTATTCAAGCCGGAGTTGCCCGATGGACTACCAATGGAGCGCGAAATCGAACACCGTATCGACGTGAAGAACCCGAGCATTGCAATGTATCGACAGCAGTGGCGTCTTTCGCCGCAGCAGAAGGCAGAGATCGACAAGTGGGTACGCGAGATGATTGTGAAGGGGCTAATCCGACCGAGCATCAGCCCTCACGCAGCACCGACTTTCTGTGTGCGGAAACCTATGGGATAGCACATTGTCCATGACTACCGGTGCGTGACAGCAACATAATCCGACAAAGCGTACCCATGACGCGAAAGGAAGACGTTTTCGGCAGTATGGCCGGTGCTTATTACTTTTCGTGTATGGATTAATGTCAGCGTGCTACCAAGTTCGGATGAAGATGGATCATGTCAAGTACACAGCGTTCCAAGCTCCAAACCGTCTCTACGAATACCTGGTGCTACCTATGGAAGTCAGCAATGCTCCTGCGACCATGCATCGACTGACGTCGTCATTAATCAAGGGGTTGTTGCACACTAGATCATTTTACGATGACATCTACGTGTTTACGAAGTCAAAGAACATTGACGATCACCTGCAAAATCCGCGTGACGTGTTGGAGATTCTAAAGGAGAACAAGCTGTATGTGAAGTTGTTAAAGTGTGTGCTCTGCGCTGACGAGATCCCGTATCTTGGTGATTTTATTGGTCGGAACGGAGTTCGCATCGACCCAGACAAGGTGCAGACAATCCATTGGTCAGTACCAAGAGCCCGAAAGTAGCTTCACAGCTTCTCAGTTTGACCGGATACGTCCAACGATTCTGTGAGCAGTACGCTGAGCTGACAGCACCGCTATTTACTCTATTTGAAAAAGAAAACCAGCGCAATTTCGAGGATTACGCCCACGCAGTGCAACTGAAGAACTTCAAGGATCTGAAGCGACGACTCTCAGGTGCTGCAATTACCTGATTTTACGTCACAGATGCACTTACGTACGGATGCAAGCCAGTTTGTGGTGGGCGGTGTGCCGTTCCAAGTCGTCGATGGGGTCGAGCGACCATTCGCATACACTAGCCGGAAGATGAAATCAGCGGAGCTCAAGTATCCAATGCAGCAGCAGGAACTACTTGCAATCGCCAATGCTTTAGCAGCGTTTCAAATCTATTGTTTACATCGACTAGCAATGATTGAGAAGGACCACAAGTCACTCGAGGGTATTTTCCCGCAGAAGATGGCGAATCGACGGTTGGCCCGGTGGTACGACATCCTCGCCGAATACCCACCAGTTTTCACGTACTTACCTGGAGCGAAGAATGGTATTGCGGACGCCCTGATTCGAAGACCGGATACCAAGCCTGAAACAAAGTAGTTCCATGATTTGCTTGTCCCAGGTTTCAAAGAGACGAATGACCAGCTTCGCGTAGCGGAAATTCGACCTACGAATGACCTGATCGAGTCCGCTATCAGCGGTATACAAAAGACAAAGTCATTCGGGAGATTCGACGCGCGATCGAGCGGCGTGGTACGACATCAGGCGTTTGTGGTGTTTCTGAGAAACAGTACAAGCTTTCTTCGAGAAGAAGAACTTACTCTGGTATCAAGGAGCGACTGACAAAAAACATCGGATCGTAGTCCCGAACGTGGTAGCGCTGAAACATCGCGTTATCGCTGAAGTACACGATTCTAATTACGGTGGTCATCCCGGCACGGATCACACATTCCTGAAGCTACGTGCTGACTGGTATTGGCCGCGGATAGTCCGTACGATCAGAAAGTACATCACCGATTGTGAAGAGTGCAGACGGAACAATCCTCGATTGACGAAGACCCCTGGGAAGTTGGAGCCTCTACAGATTCCGGAAGAATGATGGCGTTCGATTTCAATGGATTTCATCACGGACTTACCGGACACGAAGAGCGAGAAGAACTCGATTTGGGTAGTTGTGGACCGGTCGACCAAGCATCCAAATTTCATCGCGACGACGAAGACGGTTTCTGCTAAAGAGGTCGCGACACTGTTCATCGACAACAAGCTTCACGGTCTACAGCAAGACATTGTGTCGGATAGGGATACCACGTTCGTCTCTGGATTCTGGAGCCAAGTTTTTGACAATGTGGGCACCAAACGCAAGATGACAGTAGCATACCGAGCTTAAGGTGATGGACAAACAGAGAGGATGAACCGGACTCTAGAAAAGTACCTTAGCTGTTTCGTATCCCCGCGACAGGATGACTGGGATGTGCACCTTGCGAATGCATAGTTTGCCATCAACTTAGCCGTCAACTCGAGCATCAAGATGTCGCCATTAGAAGCTGACATTGGCTACGTCCCGCACAACATACAAACAAGGACGGTGAAACTCAACCCCCCGTAGACATGCATTTTCAAATCATTTTTAGAAAGGCCAACAAGACAAAAAAACTCGACCCCTTTCGTGGTCTCACCTGCGATTGGTAAAAATTAAACCGACCCAACAGTTTATAAAAAGTAGAAAAAAAACAATTTAAACAAACGCACACCACCGAAAAAAGCAAAGACCTGTAATATTTTGCTCTACACCATCACGACAGGGTCTTTTGGGATTGCTTTTTCAAAGCTTTTAATAACACATTCCGTAGATGTGTTCACCCACGCTCTAATTGTGCGTGTTACGGCAGCCAGACGCTTTTCCTTCGCATTTCTTGTAACGGCAACCTTCTCTCGTAGCCATTTAGCTGTCAACGTTTTCTTGAGTGGTCCCATAACGCCCACGTCAAGGGGCTGACTCACAGAGGCGCTGTTAGCAGATACGGGGACCACAATTGCAGATGTCTCTTCAGCCACAACGCTCTGACCTGCTTCGGAAATATGAGAGTCAAAATTGTCCAGCAAGAGGACTGACGGAGCATCAATCTCGTACTTTAGCAACCTCAAAACGTACGTTTGCCACACTGTGGCGTCCATCCAGCCTTTTTCTTTGACGGTGCACACGTGGCCTTCAGGATACGTCGGAAGTTCATTCGTCTCCATAGTCCCGCCCGGCATTCCTCGTAGTATGAGCAGTATTGGTTGTTTTTTTCCCTGAAAGATAAATAAGTTAGTTTAAACATAAGAAAATCATTAAATCATTAAACAAAATTTATCACCCGCTCTAATGGTAAGAACTGCAGTGAGTCTACCAGAGTTTTTCTGCGTGTGTTTCACTTTAGCGGAGCCACGACGGCCTTTGAGAGCACAAATCTTGTGGGGTGGGGTGTCAAAATATATTGATGTCTTGTCGACATTGTATATGGCGGATTGCTGGAAGTGAGAATGCTGTTTCCAAACCTCGATGGCAAAGTTCAAATGGATTTCTTGTAGTGCATCTTCATCCTTTTTAGTAAATTGCAGTTTCTGAACAGAAAAATCATGGCTACAACATTAAGAAAAGATATTTAAGCAATATGTATTGATTAAATATTAATAAAATAGGATTAATTGCTAAAACGTTTGATTAAACCAGCATATGGTAAAAAGAGATGCTTACCGAGCTGCAAACCGTTGGCACATACGCATCAACGCGCTCAATGCGCTGAGGAGATGATTTATCGGCTATATACTACTCCAGCCAAACCCCCTGCTCCATTTTCATATACTCGATAATGCCTCTAGTACACAAATACTATATATACACGTTAGTATCTGCAATAAAGAATATGTCTGGATGAAGATTTACCGCTTCATCCCGACGGACGTCTTTCATGAAGGTGACCAATTCGTGCTCAAATGTGATTTTAGTCTGTGCGTCCTGTCCTTTTGTCGTTCTGCTTGTCTGGGGTCCCTTGAGCTCAAACAGCAGTTTTGCCTTCTTTCTCCAGCCTTTCAATGTACCTAATGGAATATTAAGCGCCCGAGCGGTAGGCTTACATCCCTCCAGAGCCATCCGCTCGAACGCTTCCCGTCTCTGCTTGACGGTGTAGTTGTTCTGCTGACAAGGTGCGTCCATCACCTCGCAGAAACAGCAATAGCAGGATTGTTTGTACGGCGCCAGTATGGCGTGCTGTCCAGCAATATATGTGAAACTATCTTATTGGCTAAAAATCCAAATAACATTTTTACTTGAGTTTTAAGTTGCACTGTAAGGGGGGTCGAGTTTTTGTGGGGGGTTGAGTTTCACCGTCATTGTCAGTACTCTCTGCTGTTGTCGAATCAAGTCGAAGAGGATTGCGCGGAGGACGACGTCAAGGCGTTCTGTTTATGGAACATCAAGCAGCCGTGCTTCGCCTGTGTCTAGATACAATAGAAAAAGCTCAGTCTAGGATGGCCGACGTGTACGATCGTGGGCGTAAGGACCAGGAGCTCAACGTGGTGATCAAGTGTACCTTAGTACTAATAATCTGGACACGACACAAACGGGGTTCTCTAGCTCACGCAAGCTCGGCCCCAAGGGGATTGGACCATACTCCGTTATGCGCAAGGTGCATCGACACGCGTACGAGATCAACTTACCGCCCGGACTCAAGCTCCACCCTATCTTCAACACCGGCTCGCTCAAGTCATACGAGTTTCCAACTCGACTCTCGCGACATCAAATGGTAATTCTACACGACGGCAAGGTTGGCGAGCTCATGGAAGCGGTCACCAACAAGCGCCAGCGTAAGGGCCGTACAGTATCTCATTCGGTGGATGGGTGAGGCGAAAACGACTCGGGAGCCGCTCGAGAGCCTACACCAAGTGACAGGCTTAATTCAAGCGTATGAAGCGAAGACACCCAAGAGATCAAGAAAACGACGGCGACAAATACCCAAGGACGAAAGTGTGCGTCAACGGACACGGCGGCAACTCAAAACTCGAGATTGACGCATTTTTACCGAAAATACTCAAATTCCCGTGGAATATTCCAGGTTTACAAACTTCAAGATTATGTTCAAGTTCCAGGCACAAGTTCAAGTAGTAAACTGCTCAAAATGAAAAGAAATCGTACTTTTTTTTTAGTTATGCCTACGTTTCGTCGGGACCAGCACTTCTGCGAATAATAACGCGTCGAGCGAACCGAACACTCACCAGCCACAAAAAGACACATTCTAGCAGCGGCATCTGAACGACGCTGTCATCAGAGACGAAACGACCGTGCGTCGTCACCTGCAGCATGAACGCGTGCGACGTACGCTCAGGGCCTAGAAGGACGCCTGCGTATACGTACACACCAGGTACTACCAACCCATAAGATAGACCAATGCAAGCCTGGACGCCGTCCAGGCGATACTGGACTTGGTTCACACCAATCATGTCTTCGCAGATCTCGGTGCGACCAGCAGCACGGGCAGCGCGGTTGGACTTCCGAACAAAGGTCCATAGTATGGACCACACAGCCCCGGCAGACTTAATGGGATCTCAGTTTCAGCACGCGCACGGTACAACTCATCGACAGCAGCCTCCGAGTATCAGTCTGAGACCCCAAGGGCATCGACAGCGCGATTCAGGACACGGAAGGTGCCACGGCCATCGCGCGAGGCACTCATGGCTTGGGAGAAGTCGTCTGGCCACGAGAAAGCGAGCTCAGCAAAGGTCATGGGACCTCCGGTGGCTTTGTACTGATCAACGATCTCGAGATACTCGGTGAAGCCGTCTTCCTCGAGGATCCAGCGGGGCTCCCAAGAAACCTCCGTTTTCCCTGCAGCATTTATGCATTCAACATATTATCGCGATTCGTGAGTTACCTGCGAGACAAGACGGTCGGAGATGGTCCAGACATACCAGGGAGACGTTGTCGCGGCACTCCGAGTCGAATTGGTCTTCCGCTGAGCGCGACAACTGAGTGACGTGCGTGGGGTGCGCCCACCAGTTGACCGGGACGCAGTCTGCTTCGCTCGTGCCATGACAGGCTCTCGAGGGAGCGAGTGGTTGCGCGGCCAGGGACACAAGGGTAGCAGGACAGCAGACTCAGCGAAGCAGGCGTGCGTCGACAGAACCCAGTTGCTAGCTTAAGCAAGGCCAAGGAAACAATAGCGGAGAGAAGGCGTGCAGTTTTACACAAGAAGCGAGGACGAGCAACGAACACAAGGACGAGCAATGAACTCAACCTGACATGGAGCACCAAGTATGAAGATCACTTCAATTGTTGGAGGGGTGAGTGTATCCAGTAGACTGCAAATAATGTTTGGGACGTATCGTATTAAAGATAGATATTAAGTAACAGAGGGGCTCTCTCAACCAACTGTTTGGCTGAGAGCCGTTGATCGAGGATCTCAGCACACTTTGCTTTCTCGCCGCCAGCCCCCAGACGGCCTTCCTCTCCCCTCCTCTCCAGGGCCAGTTTATTACACCTTTCCTATGCTGGTTAGGAGAGGAGTTTAGAGGTAACCGAGGAATTTCTAGCGTTGTTGCTTTTCTATGCTCTTCGCATACATGTAGAATCAAGAGAAGAAGCGAAGGACCAACCGGGGAGCGAGTAATGTATTCTTAGCATTACGCCTGACCAGTGTAAGGCCTCGTAAGCGTCTATGGGCGAGAAGAGCCCTTGGCTGGCCACCGCAAGTGACATTTGGAAGTGGCAAGACAGTTTTTGAATGGAACGGTCAAGCAGGTTTTCCACTTTACAGTAATGCAAGCCTCGATGTCGTTAATGCTACCGGTATAATAGCTCTTGTCTGGTAATCTTTGTTTTCCAGCACATTTATCATTCATAAAATCTCGAAATCGCCTAAAATCAATATTGTATGCCACAAATTTTGTCCTATAGGCTCGATACGACAAAATTTGTGGTGCACAATAGTGATTTTGCTTCGATAGGACAAAATTTGTGGTACCCACATGTGATTTTGTCCTTCGGGGATACCGGTGCCGGTATGTTTGCTTTGCGAAAGTCACAATGCTGGGGCTGGCGTGTTTTAACAATGCTGGGGCTGGCGTGTTTCGCGCTGCTGGCGGCGCCGGCGACTGCGGCGTCTGTGGGTCGCATTCTCCATTTCTCGGATGTGCACCTGAACGTTTCTCAGTCGTTCTCAGCAGAAGACAACGCTCGCATCCCCATACGCTATTTTCAAGACGCGCCTTTGCCTCTGCTCGAGTCTGCACTAGTGTACGCTAAGGAGCACGTGGTGGCCGATCCCGAGCTCTTTTTGTACACAGGAGACCACGCAGCCCACGGTCTCTTTACTGACGAATACATTGCAAAAGCTGTTGAGACGAATGTGCACGCGATGGAGAATTATTACCCACCAAAGGGCCGGGAAGGGAGGCTGGAAGCCACAGCCATCATCGGCAACGCAGACGGAAGTACGTGGAGATCAATCGCTATAATTCTGATAGAGAGGGAGATGGACTAATACTGCTAATGACAACAGACCCTGACTATCACATGGAGGTGACAGACCCGGAGACAGAGTCGAACCCGTCTATTGAGCTCATCTCGGAGGTCTGGGAAGACTCGTTGACTGCAGCGAACATGGATCTGCTGAATCGGCGTGGTTACTTAAGCTATGCTTTGGACGATAAACTACACGTGATTACACTCAACACAGTGCCCTACTCGGTAAGATTGCTATATAAAAAAAGAGCATAAGTACTGATATTGTGTTTTATCATCTACGTGCAGCCAAGCCATTTGCCGGACACATCGAAGCATCCGGATCCATTCGGACAGCTCGCGTGGTTGGACAAGACTCTAGCTGAGCTCCAGAACGCCGACAAGTTTGCGTACATTGCTGGTCATATTGCACCGATTGTGGACTCGTACGGAGGCAACCCTCAGTGGCACCCCAAGTACATTGTCAAGTATAAGAACATCGTCGGCAAGTATGCCGATGTGATCAAGGCGCAGTTCTTTGGTCACGTGCATAGCGTCGAGTTCCGTGTCCCCGTGACATCGCTTGATGGACCAGCAGGAGACGACGACACCTTCCAGTTGCTGCCGATGTACACCACGGGCTCGATCTCGCCGCTGTTCGGCAACAACCCGTCTTTCATGGTCTGGGACTACGATACCGAGACGTATGAGGTGCTAGACTACGCTGTGTACGCTTCAGACATTACCGATAGCGAGCCTCAACTCGACTGGAAGCTTTTGTTTAAAGCGAGCGAGGCATACGGCCTGAAGTCGCTGTCTCTGACCGAGCTCTCGTCGTTTATGCACCGTGTTGGGCAGAATACGAGCTTGGTGGAGATGTATTACTGGAACATGAAGGCGCGTTCGCCCAACGCTCGACCTTGCAAGGACACACTGTGCCATGCGAAGACGCTGTGTACGCTCAAGTGGTGGACTACCAAAGGCCAGTATCTGGCGTGTGTTGACACAGCCCAAACGATGATCTCAGAATTCGACTACACGTCCGTCTCGGCTGCTGCATCTGGTTCCAACGTCTCGGACACTTTTGCAAGTAACGACGTGATGATGACAATTGGAGCGACCGCACTAGCGACTGTTGTTGCAGTGGTGTGTGTGGCGTTAACTGTGCTCATACTCCGACGCGTTGGGATCCTCAAAAACCGCTCGCAATACGATACCGTGGCCACACTTTAACAGTTTTCTTCACCTGTCATTAAAGCAGAACGGTACGTAAACTGTAAAAAAAAAACTCTTTACTGATGTGATTCCGTTAGGTCCACACTCTTGCATCACATGAGCTTGAGGTGGCCCGTGATCTCGTCGATCGCCTTCAGTGGCGCCGGGCCAATGCTCAGCACCGTCTTGCTCTCAGGTGCAATCTGCGTCCTGCCAGCGTCAACCTGATACAAGCACAGCATCGTCAGTAACGCAAGCGTTCTTTTTCTCTTTATGAAGCATTCAACAACGTACCACGACGTAGTTAACGAGTCCGTGCTCCGCCGCCTTTTCGGCCAGAGCGAGCATCTCCTCCTCCGAGTCCACCTTAAGGCAGACCTTAGCCTGACCCAGCATCTCCCACGCGCGAACGGCGTCTGGCGTCCGTTTAAGTGCGCGCTTGTACGCACCTAGCGTCGCGTGACAGCATTGCGCCGCTACTTTGCCTGTTTGTTGAGCAGCAGCGTCAACTCGATATACTTGTATCAAATGCTGGTTAAAAAGTACCAACCTTTGCCCATTTTCAGGTCCGTACGCACGCACATAACCATCTTGTGGGGCACCCAGCTGACTGAATCCTCGCCCTCCCAGTCGTCTGACGACCCGGATAATGATCGGGACGATGCGCCCGAGCGCAGCTCCGCGGCATTTTCGTTGCTGTTGTCGCTGCTACTGTGCAAGGCCTTGGGTGGCGATGTACTGTCGATCAGCAGGTACGAGGACACGAAATAGTGCGCCGCGGCGCCCAGCACGAACGCCGCCGTGCACTTCCAGGCCGCATCCTCCATGGTGGTGGAATATCAGCGAATCAATTGTCGTCTACCATATAAGTTGTGTGCACCACAATTCAGTTTTTAACCTTTGTTTTTTTTAAACCTTAAAATGTTTCTCAAAAAAGAAACAGCATGCTTGCTTAATCACAACTAAAGTAAGCTGAGAGCTGCGCCTTCGAGTTGTAATAGTACTGCTCTAGCAACGCCGAGTCCGATGCGATTCGGTCTACAAAAGCGTTTAGCTCCATCGTGCGCAACAAAGTCACGCCGTACGCCGTGCTGACCCTGAACAGCGGTCGCTAATCCAGATCCTGACTGTCGGACGAGATGTTGGACCCGTACACTGTGAAGTCCAGCACTTCGCACGTATCGGCATTAAAGTCTCAGATCATTAATGCCGGATTGTTGTTGGAGATCGCCACCGACATGAATGGCGGTACGAGTTCAGTTCTCCCCGCTTCTTTTTGTGCGTGTTGCTCAGAGATGAGATGGATACGGAACTCGATGCTGTGCACGTGCGCGAAGAACTGCGCCTTGACGACGTCTGCGAATTTGCCCACGAGCGACTTGTACGTCTTGATGTACTCGGCCTCCCACATCTGAGTGCCGCTGAACGAGTCGATAATAGGAGGGAATGTCCGATAGTGTACGCAAACTTGCCGGCGTTGCGGAGCTCGAGCAGTGTTTGTTGAGTCATGCAAACTGGGGAAATGATTGGGCTGGATACGATGACACAGCACAAAGGAAAATAAGTCTAGACGGGCGAGCCTAGGAAAAGTAACGCACTGAGTAGGGTACAGTGTTGAGGGTGAGAACAACCAGCCTTCCATCCAAGTCGGACGATAGATAACCACGGTGGTCAAACCGGTCCGGGTTGGACTTGGAACTTGTATCTCCCCATGCTGCCGATAATGAGAGTGATCAACGGGATATTCTCTACTTCTGGGTCTGTCAACACTGTTCATTAAACACAAGAACTGTCACTACCATTTCTTGCGCTCTGGTTCCTGTACTTATAACGTATTTGTGTTTGCATTGCCTAGCAGCGTACTGACGTCCAGTGTGGTGTCATCGTCCTTTGTCGCGTAGTAGCGAGCCATAGTCTTGACACTCGTCTCGACTGTCTCCACAAGAAACCTCTCTCTTATGATCTCCTTGCACGACTTGATCGCCGGTACAGAGGAAGAAATCCGCAAACATCATGACTTGGAAATACCGTTTACAATAAATTGTAATTAAATTCTCGATGGTCGCCCAACTGGACAAATGATGTGATAAACGGATCAAGCTGTCTATGTTCAAACGCGACCTTGTGGCAAACGTTAGTTGTGCCATTCGTAGCAAAGAAACCGGTGCGATCGTGTAGAAGGCAACATTGAAAAAAAAAACAATAACGTATTGACCTGTGGCGTGGAGGTCATGCAAGATATCTGTGGTGTGCTTATGATCCCCACGATACCCGCTACTTCGGTTGTGCTGCCGTGTCGCTTCAACGTCACACTTTACGATTGCATTGTCGAGTACACAGTGTACTGTACACTGCACAGTATGTTAGATCTCTGCAAGAACAGGCCTACAATATATCGTCCACGACAATGATGTGTCAACATTCAAAGGCGGCTTGTGTCCAGCTCATTGAACTGACGGATCTCCAGTTTCTTGGCCAGCAATGGGGCCATGTAAGCACCGAACGCGGCGTAGAAGGGGTTGGCCACGTGAACCTTGAGGCTCTGTCCGATTTAAATAACGTAAGAGCATGTCCTTACGCTTAAAAATTGCAGGGATACTGTAACGTACACTCTCCTTCTCGTAGCGCTCAACAATTGTCCATTTGCGGGGATCTGTGTGATCTTGCATGACGTGCCAGTTTAGAGTTCCCGCGTCCTTCACGTACACGTTCGAGGCCTCGACGAGCTTGCTGCGGATCTTCTCTTCAATGTCCTCGCCATCCTTGGCGTATAGGTGACAAACAATAGTGTATACCATGTTGCTGCTTCTTGGAATCGGACGGTTGAAAAGTGGCGAAGGTTGAGTGTGTTTACGATGACGTTTTCTCGGTCACAACTTCAACAAAAGAAGTTCCGTACCGGTATAAATATTGGTACTTGAGGACTGAAGACTAGCACTCTCAGTACTATATTAAGAAATGCCTGCAAGGATATTAGTTGCACCAGGGCTGGATTGTCAGCTCATGTACTACTGATACTCAAGCGAATGCAGGATTTTCTCTGAGAATTTTACAAAAACAACTCTGTCGGATTTTATGTGGCCTGAGAATTTTTGTAAATTAATGATGTGCTCGAATCTGACGATTGCGTTCAAATATGTTTTTTTAGTTTTATGCAGAAATAAAAACCCAGTTTTTTCCTGCACAACAAATACTACTGTAGTACAGTGTATTAATAGTAGTAGCTGCGGCCATGTCTGACTTACTTACTATCTGAGAGACTACATTATACTAAACTTCTGCACCGGTGTGTCACAAAACAGTCTTTATTTTTCACATTTCTACTACTGTAGTGTGGGTACGGTACTACATCGATGAACCACAAACACGCCTCGTGCTTCAATACTTGGCGGTGGAGACGCTGCAGCCCGAACATCGCCTCAAAAGATTCCCAGAGCGTCTTGAAACGAGTCGTCAACTTGCACTCATCAAATGACGATCGACTAGTCACTGGCATTAGATCATTCAAGCGCTTACTCGACGTGCACGGGCTTGCTCGTGTCCAGCTCGTTGAAACGGCGCAGGTCCATCGGCTTGTCCAGCAGCGGGATGACGTACGGGTCAAATGTCTTCCAGTACGGGTTTTCCAGGTGGTACTTCTGACTGCTCTCATGCTCGTAACGCTCGACGATGCACCACTTGCGTGGATCCTGGTGGTCTTGCATCACGTGCCAGCCAATGGTCTCGATGTCCTTGGAATACACCTGCGAGGCTTCAATCAACTTGTTGCGCAGCTTCTTTGGCGTAAAGATGAACGACGATGGTGTACACCATTGCGATAGTGGCCGGTTATGCTGGTGCCGGTTTGTGAGGAAATGAGAAGTGCGGCAGGTGGGAGGGTTTGCTTCTTGTGTGCGGGATGTGTGGCTCCGCCCGCCTGCTGTTATTAATACACGTACGGGGGGGGGAATTCTGCTTGGGTTTCAGCTTGGGATCCAAGCAGACACTGCTACGTCATTGAAGTAGCGACGAGCGAAGTGATACGCAAAGGATTATCCGGATAGCAGATGATTGAGTTAACTGAGCTTCGTAGACCTCTCAAAAATGCAACCTGCCAAGGCTGATTGCTAGCAGTGCTACTATATCAAATCTGAA